TCTTTGCCTTGAAAATCACGTTATGGAACATATAATTTACTATGTCCCATAACGTGATTTTCAAGGCAAAGACCCCAAATGTCGAATTAGTTCTTATCACATGACTCGTGCGATATATGGATGTATGCTAAGTACTGAAGTAGGGATTATCCAAATTATAATAAAACATATAAACCATACCAGTTTTAAAATGGCGTGTTTATATGCTTTATAGCTTGGAGTACTCAATTAACAACCCTAAATGCTAATTTATATCGCAAGCTATTTTTCCTACAGAGTTTAATAAGTCATTGTGGTTTAACTATCGCTATTGCGTAATATCATTTTTCATACGTAGTAAATGGAAAATTCCATTTTATTTAATAAAATTTAAACTATTTACAAGATAAATAAATAACAGTATTATGTAATAGCACTAAATAATACAAATATAAAAATAAACCAAAAATAAAATAAAAAAAAATCAACTACTTACTGTTATATGAATACAAGTGTTTGTTTTCGAATAAGAAAAAGAAATTCATATAGTACATAAACGAAATTTTCGTGTCGTATTGTTACTTTAAACAATACGATAGTTATGTTCTACGGCCTATAACAAAACTAAAAGTTTTTCGTCTTTCCGTTTTCTTTTTTACAGGTTGCTGACTTGATGAACTTTCTGGTAAAGTAGTAAGTGGTGTCTCTTTTTTTGCCGACCAGTCTTTAGACAAAATTTCCTCGAAACCTTTAGCTTCCATTATACGATTGAGAATCTTGTTAATATAAAGAGACATCGACTTGTTGGAATCTTTAAGTGTTTTTATTTCATCTTGTAATTCTATAAAGTTGATAAAATAAATACGTTAATATCCTACTTAAATTTCGAAAAATAAATAAGAAATGAAGTAAAATACAAACTTTCAATCACTGTATGGTCACTCCCTTTATGCGTAGCACGATTTAATTCGGCTTCCAAATCTATGGCCATAGATTTTATGTTGACTATTGCATCATCTTTATTTGTGAAATTTGTAACTTTTCCTGCTATGTAGGTATACTTTGCATTTCTCTTTTTAAAAAATTGTATACATATATTAATTCATTTAATAGTTATATTAATAGTTATATTAATAGTCATACACATGTTTTTATTTACCTGCATGATATTATCTAGCACAAATTCGCCTTTCATGGTCTTTTCGTGTAATAATTGTCGATATCTTTCACTGTCTTCCATTAATGTCTGATTAATATGCTTAACTTGACCAAGTTCATTTTCTAAATAATGAATCCTGGCGACATGGTCCTTGTTTAAATTCATTGAGTTGACACGCATCCGTTCTACATTTTCAACTTCTGTGACCAGCTCATTAACACGCCTCTCAAGTTCTTTAATGGTTCTTTTAGCAACCTTGACTTCTCGGATAGCCGTATAATACGATGTCGCTGATCCTGCTGTAGGTGTTGTTGGTGATGAAGGTGGACTATCATCTATGTATCATAGATAGTAAATTTTGAAAATTAATTTCTTCCTGACCTTCCCATCGTTCAAAATTACTTTCTAAAAATGATAAAATAGATAAATTGGGGTTATACCATCATTAGAACTTGTGTTCCCATTTCTCTTTTTCGAAGCATCATTTTGTTGCTTAAGAGTATTAATGGTTTCTTGAAGTGCTTTGATTTGATCGGTCAATTCGGACTCTCGCACTTGCCATTCATGTTGATCCTTGTCAAAAGCTTCCGTCTGAAATATGCGTATTAATTTCAATACCCATCTTTATATTATTTCATTATCCAAATTTTACAAATTTTAATAATAATAAAAATTCATACCTCCTCTCTCAATTTCAGTTCTATTTCTTGCTTGGTTTTCAAAAAGCCTTCATTTTTTTTTTTTAGTTCTTCTTTTTCCTGTCCCTGTTGATAAAGTTCAGATTCAATCCGTGTATATGCATTATGATTACTTGTAATTTCCTGCTGAAGGGAATAATTCTTTTTGCGTAAAAAGTTATTATCATCCGCTAATGTAGAGTTCTCTTTATTGGTACGTTCAAGTTGTTCACGAACCTATTTTAAGAATATATTTTTAGAAAAATTTATATATATCAAACTCAGCTTTAATATTAAGAATTTACAGCATTAGCATTTATCTATAAAGTTTGAATTTCATTAGGCTGAAATCCGATACATTGTAAAACCGGAGCCTGTCAAGAAATTTTTGTAAATGCTCCGGTTTTTTCTTTTTTTTTTTTTTTCCTAAAAAAAAAAACCGGGTTCATCGGCTTATTCAAGCTTCAGGTTGACATTAACTAATATAATAATTTATAATAAAAAAATAATAATAATTATATTAACTTACCAAAGCATTAAGATTTTGAAAATTTTCCACTTGCTGTCGTAGCGCTGCCAATTCTCCGTCAAAAGACATTTTTTGGATCAGAGTTACAGATAAAAATTTATTGGTAAATTAATATCAGCCATTATTTGTCACATGTAAAAAATTAAGCATATCGGTCAAATGATGTCCTACCTGCCTAAAATTCGTACATTAAACCTACAATTGGTACAATCGTAAAAAATTTTTTTTTGTACACTTAGCACTAAAAGTTTTTTTTTTCTACGTAGTGCTTAAATCTTTAAAAAAATATGGATAACGATAAACTTTAATTAAAATGAAATGTTAGGTGAGACGATCTGAAAATATTTACTCCTTGATCTACGTATGACTGATAATCAAATTTACTCATTTCAAAATGACAGATTCTTTTCTCACCTTTTTCAAAAAAAAATTAGTCAATGTGCAGCTTTCAATGCTAGCAAATCGAAGTCATGATGCTTTTTGAGATCTATTGTTAGGAGCAAGGATCAGCTATGTCCTCCTTGAAACTGTTTATTAGCTTTATTCTTTACACTGCATATACTGTATAATTCTAAAGCATGGTGCAATTTATATTATAATAATTAGATACCCGTAAGACAAATAAAATATTGGTTTAATTGGTGTTACTAACAGGTTTAGGCCAAAGCTAAAAGACCAAGAAAAAATCTTTTTCATAACAAAAATATGGCGAGCAGTGAAATGCGTTACTACTTTTAAAATAATGATTTTTTATAGTAAGCTCTATAAAATAAAAAAAGTTTATGTGAATTGGATTACTGGATAGCTAGAAATTTAATTTTTATTCATAAAATCTACATAGCCCCGTAAGGTCATTTTCAAGGCAAAGATTCCATATAACAATTTATTTTTATTTATTAAAATAGTAAAAATATTATATTATATTTTATTATTATTTTCTATATTGTATATAAAAAAGCTATTACAGATTTATTATGTAGTTATATATATAATAGCTAAACCAAATATTTTTATAAATATTAATTATTTTAATATTATTAATTTTTATATATAACTAATTTAAGTAAAATTATTAGTTTTAAAAAAAAAAAACTAAAAGAAAAATTAGATTTCTATTTTTTTAAAGCCCAAATTTTTTAGCTTTAAATAAGATTTTATAATATTTAAAAAAGTCAATCATTTTTTAACCTATTTTTAACCATGGGTGCTCCTATTAAATTTAGGGTTAGGGTGCATTTTTAGGGATTTTTTATTTTTTTTTTATAATATAATGTATATTAAATATAGAGTTCCCGCGAGGTTTTTGGGGTCCTGAACATTTTTACTTAGAATACCCGATCCAGGTTACTTAGTACGTTTTTGAGATATAGCACCCCTGGTGATGTAACCAGGGGGGCAAGTTAGCAATAGTCAAAAAAGTTTATCAAATTTGGCTAGGTAGATATTGGAATATCTTTGATTAAAGTTTTTAGAAACATTTTAAAAGTTTATCAAATAGAAGTGCAATTTCAAACTTTAATATCTTGACACCTACCTGACCATGTATGATGAAATTTGCTAACATAAATTTTAATGTATAATTTTATTTTAAAGCAGGGTTTGCTAACTCACCTTGCTTTTTGCCACTGGGTTAAAGAAAATAAAAAATTAGCGATGGGACAAGTGTGCTATGGAATCACAATTATCACACAGAGATTCTAGAAAACTAAATTTTATTTGTTTTCGAAATGGAATATGTAATATTTTTTTTGTAATACCATCAAGAACTATTGATGAACAGCTTGTGTATCTATTCTTTATATGCCGATGATTATGATCGCTTTCTCCATATAAAGCCACATTAAATTATATTATGTTTTTTTTAAATCGTATCTCCTCAATGAATAAGTCAAAATTTGCAAAAAAAACTCGTAACTTTGTAGAACATATATAAGACTACAGTATTATGAGCTTTTTTTTGCAAATTTTTAAATTTTCATTGAGAAGTTACGATTTTGGATGTCTTTAGATGATCAGCACGTACGTACTAACGGCATAATTTATAATACTGTATATAATATAGTATATTAACTTTCTATTTGATTATTTGGAGAGCTGCGTGATATAGAACTTTATTTATAGTCATGAACAGATGCTAATAGGAATCTAGGGGTATATTTAAATATATAGAACTTTACCGAATATATACATATACACTCTTATTACCGACTCCAAATCCTAGCCCAAACCCTTCAGCATCGTTCATGACATTTATTTAATAGTAATATAATTACTATAAAAACCAAATGTTCGATTATTAAAGAGTTGATATTATTAAAAAGAGTATTTCAAGAAAAAATGTTTATAAAAAAAAATAAAAAAAAGGGAAAAAAATTAAATATATAAAACTATTTCTACATTACTGCATATAATCACCCAAAGTTAATACGAAAGTTTTTGTAGCAAAACTATTTCTTTTACGTATCGAAAATGGGGAATTTAAATTTTCTAAAATTTCAAAGGAAAGATTTGCTAAAGCATCGTGAACTAATGTTGTTGCATGGTAATCATCCCAAAAAAAGAAAGTGTCTTTGTTTTCTTGATCAATATTTAAATCAATTACTATTTCATCAGAATTATTATATAAATTAACGGCTGCATCCACACAATTCGTAATTCCAAAACAGTTCATACCATCTTTAGTTTGTAATTCTTTAAAAAATTTATCAATTTTTAAATATATTATTTTCACACCAGTTTCTCTGTTAAATTTTACTAAATGTTCAAGTAAATATTTATTATGAGATTCGATAAGTTTAGATATTCTTGTCTTTTCTTCTATATTGCTTGTTTTATAAGCAGGAATTCGAGACAGATCATGGATATTAGGTATTAGGATAGTGTTAATGGTTGGAAAAGATTTTACAAGAAGATGGAGAGCGTCGATTAAAGATTGTACTACTTCAAGTGGTGATGCAGACATTTCGGAAAAGAAATAGTCATTTCCCGTGTCCCATACCTATAGATATATATAAACGAACATAATTAGATACACAAATGAAAAAGAAAAGTGATCGTGTATAATTTTTAAAAGAATACATACCGAAAACAAAGTTCTACTAAAATCTTTAATTTTCTTTGCTTTTTTCTTTGCTTTTTTGGATTTATTTGATATAGTATTAGCAGCAATAAACATTTCAATTTGTTGCTTAATTCCGTATACATGGAACTCAGCTTTAGGACCCGTGCATCCTTGAATAAACTCGCTACTATAAATTTTTAGAACATAAAGAAATCAACATAAATTTTTGGTATAATAAAAATGGATTAAGATTATTAATATAATATTATTTACTTTGAGGTAGCGCCACCATAAGCGTAATTTGTCAACTTAATATTGAGTAGTTCAGCAAGATATTCAGTCCAAACTTTACCATTACTAAAATGGCCTTTATAGTTTACATCATTTGGCCATACTTTATTTGTCAATTTGTAACTATTTCCGTTATCTTTTATTTAAGGAAAAAATTATTATTAAAATTAAAATTAACAACGATAAACATTGACCGATCAATGATTATAGCATACCAGAGAAGGAATCACCAAAAGCGACATAATTATTAAATATTTTGCGTGACTTTACAGAGGTAGAATTGACCCTGAAAAAATTCTTGGAAATGAAAGAGGAGACGGATTTTTGTTCTGATAGGATAGGTTTTTCTGACAAAGTAGATTTTTGTTCTGATGAAATGGATTTTTGTTCTGATGAAATGGGTTTTTGTTTTGATGAGGCAAATTTTTGTTTTGATGAAGTGGATTTTTGTTTTGAAGTGGATTTTTGTTTTGAAGAAGTGGATTTTTGGTTCGATGAAGTGGATTTTTGGTTTGATAAAGTGGATTTTTGTTCTGAGGAAGTAGGATAGATGTTATATAAAAATGATAGCGAACTGAGAATCGAGAGTGGTGCTGAAAAAAACATTTTTGTTTTTTTTGATAGGTAAACAGTTTCTCTATAAATCTAATTGGCAATAGCTTTTGATTTTTTTCTCAACAAAAAAAAACAAGCAAAATTTTGTCCATTTTTATATAGTTCTAAGTTTATAGTATTCGGAATTTAAAGACCTTTCACGCGTAATTAGATGCATATTTTTTGTCGAAATATGTATAAAATTAATTCTTGGCATTTATTCTTTCATAATTAATATTACTGCGAATTTCAAATTATTGTGATCGGCGATTTTCATACATCACACCAGGAATCAGAAATCTTGAAAAAATGCC